CTTTTAGCGAAAGGTACTCAGCGTAAAAAGTGGTGAATTAACATAGAACTGAGAAATTTTTTCGATTCAAAAATTTTGTGAACAAAATGCTTATAGCGCGTTTTTACTAAAGTTAAACAACACCTCAGGCCAGCTGACCATCCGCAACGCCGTACACATGCCGAACGGGTGCTTGAACAACAAGCAGTAGAAGGCGATTTTTCGAACCAAATTTTGTCAATTGGCCACCCAGTTCTAGCGATTTGACAGTATTATACTTATTTTGTGATGCTACACGAAAGACCGTGTTTAAGCGGATAAGCCTTTAACTCTTGAGCACCTGAAAGTCAACATTCGTCAAATTATGGCTGAGATACCGCAAAATATCAATTTCCGATTTAACAGACTTCGAATCACACCAATAGGCCTCGCATCGGTAGTCGCACGAAAGTTAGTTCGAAGACGTGCCCAAAACATCGTTTCATTATGGTCTGAAAATATACGAATGTAATCCGCTTTCTATTCACCATAAATTTTAAGCTCCACTAGTGGATCCTTAGTTTATGTAGCATTAGACGTGAAATCAACCTTCCCTCATGGATCAGGAAGTGGACAATTCGAAAAAATTGTAGTTAAGCTTCCATTTGTTTGAAATTCAGTCAGATTTTCCAAAAGACTAATCTTCCCTCCAGCAAGTGGACCAGTGACACACATATTCCGCAAAATCGAATTTATGGCTCGATTTACTTGAAATTCGTTACATAGATAGTTTAGTCCAAAAAATTGGCAGGGATACTACTCTTGCCTCCGGTAATTGAAATAGAGACCCACCGACTCGAAAAATTATAGGTATTCATGGTCCGATTTTGTGAAATTATTGTGTGATATGCCTAAATGCATGTAGTGAATCAAAAACCTGGAACCAGCTGAGATTTACCAGAAATATATATAATACTTTCTTTATGGGTAAGGGATTACCGACAGATTGAAAGAATATTGTCAGCTCTACTTATAATAAATATGAATTCGTTTTAGGTAATGAAACTCACGTTGTTTTGCTTTTACCTCTACACCCAAGGTTAGGCAGATATATTTCTGTGCTGCTGTGTTTTCCATACTTTCTGAGGCATCTCGGCTGGGAGAGTGAGTCAGGGAGAACAAAATTTGGAGCTCTAGCCGGCCAGTCAATGTCACCGCTTTTTTAACATCAGACGTTGAGAGAACTTTCGTAGCAAAACTAACAAAACTAAAGACGCAGTTTGAGTTTCAGTATTGCATGGCGTGCCGTGGGAACACAGTAATCATAAGGACCTTTCGATTACTATCGACTCTGTTTTTTTTTTTTTAAATGTTTGCAATAGTGGTATTCATCGGTCGACAATATACTTTGAGGGAATTGCACATTATACGGAAATAAACTAAAAAATTATTCAAAGTGATTCCACTGACGCCGAAACACTAAGCGCGATGACGATCCCGACACTCATGGGTTCTCTGCACAACGCGCTCTCCGGCAGTTTCAGTAAGTGCTCTCTAAAGAGCATCTTGAACTTTGATCACTGTACCACACTAGCATGGATATATTTTGTAGATTTAAATATGATAAGCAACAAAAAAATCACGCAGTTAAACGAATTTCAAGCCACATTAAGTAATCCAATTTCCTGTAATCATGAAAAAACCGCCAAATGCTGCGTTCATTAAATTATGTGTATGTAAAGGGACGTGAATGAAGGTTTTGGAATGGCTTATTCAGCAGTGTTAGGTATTCAGTTGTTCAACGAACATGAAGTCGCGCAGTCGAACGCTTATTCAAGTTTTATTTTATATAATAATTTTTTGCTCTTTTCAGCGTTTCAAGCAGATCGAAGCGGTGAGATTGAACTTTTGTGTTATTTGAAATATTTAAGCATATTGATAAATTTATGTTATTCTCTCTCCCATTCCCTCTCTGTCTCTCCCTCGTTGCATAAACAGCGAGAAATCACGATCACCGGCTTTCAAACGAATTTCGATCGGCAATTTATGGACTTGAGCTTTGCAAAACATCCAAATTCGAAACGTTTCGACATGAATGTGACACTCTTCAGGCCAATTCATGAAAATCAATTTACTTTAAATGTAAGATTGCGTGTGAAACCTAAAGGCGAGTCGAATTATCGTAATTTCTACTCATGGAAAAATGTTGAGGGCTGCAGTTTCTTAAGGAGATTTCAAGCGAATAAGATGTACCAACGTTTTTTCAAATTGTCGCCACAATTAATTGAATTATTTCGTTGTCCCATGAAAGTCGGTCATTATGAGTGTAAAGATTTGGAGGTTGGACAAAATCGTGTCATTGATTTTCTGTATATCGGAGAGTATCGTGTTACTACCGAGGTTAATATCAATGGTACTACTAAACCTTCCATGCTCATTATAAATTTAATTATTGAATAAAATAATATATTTTTTCTTTCTGCATTACAATCTTACAATAGAATAATTAAAGTGATTGGAAGAATTTTTCACATGCGATATTTATGAATAGCGGTTGCGTTCTGGTACGACCAACAACCCAAAATTAAACAAAAAATTAAGCAAATTTTTCTAATTGCGGTCGCCTCTCGGTTGACAATATCAAATCTTCGGAATGCATTTCTGACATCAAATAAAAGCCTTCTCATAAAACCCATCAGCCTTAAAAAGGCGGCTTAGAATGAATTGAACCTCCCGCCATTTTTTGGAAAAACAACAAGAAGCTCACCATAAATTGGAGAAGGCGCTCGGCCGAAAATCGCTTTAGCAGTTTTTATATATAACATAAGTATATTCGTATGTAGGTCGTCTCAAAATTAACTCAAGATTTAAATGTGCCTACATTTATGTAGTAAAGTCCATTTATGTAGTAAAATCAACAGCTGACAGTTTAAGCTTAGTAAAAATGGAGCTTTACACGATAGATCAACGTGTCGTCATTATTGAGCAATATTTCAAAAATTATTCAAGTTTGGCGGCCTACAGTTCGAAAATTTACAAAACATGGTCGGAATATTGTTTTAACTTCGTCAACTGTGAAGAGATTAATTGAAAAATTCCGGGACGCAGCGTCTGTCGAAGACGGCAATGGTTGTCCATAAAACAAGTTGTTCAATTCCATGAATTGAAGCAGTGCGTGAGAGTGTCGATGACAATTCAGGAACTTGGCGTCGGGGCAAGAACAATTGAATTGTAAACTTCAAGAATCTTTCGGCAGCGTATGCCCACTAAAAATCTGTGTCTCCTTGCCTAAGCCTAAAAAAAGCACAGTGAAGAGAGTTTGTTCAATAGATTATTGAGCCTCAACAATGCTGACGCAGTTTTTCACCTTGATGAGTTTGTTAATCAAAAACATTGCCACTTTAAGGATGGCAAATGCATCCACAACGAGTCAATGTTTGGTATGGATTTTAGGCTGAAAGCATAATTCGACCATAATTTTTTGAAAATGAGGTGCGTCGAGTAGTGACTTTTAATAATGCTCGATATACGAAATAACAGCCCAATTCTTTTTGCTGAAATTGGATGATATTGATGTGTGATGTGGTTTGTGACTGTGGATGATAACATGTGATTGCAACAAGATGGCGCCACATATCATACAGCCCGTGAAACACTTCAATTACCAGATGAGAGATTTAAAGGAGGTGATCCAACGTGGAATCAATGAAATTCAGCAACGTTTATTCAGACTAGTCGACAAACGAGTACGTATGTGTACGCAAAGCCGTTTTTCCGATGTTTTACCTCCATAAAAAACTCCATCTTTACTCCAACTTTATGATTCAATAAAAAGAAATTGCAATCGAACCAAAGTCTTATGAGAGCCATGTCACAAGTAAAGCAGTCAAGAATCTTCCTTCATAAAAGTATCCTCAATGAAATAAAACCTGTAGTGTCCAAGACTATTGAGAGGGCTAAACGTTTGTCTCATGAAACTTGTATTTTATGTGGACTTCACATTCGCAACTTATTGAGAGCATATGATTTCTTGAAATGGATCCTCCATTGCCGTTTGCTTTTTAAACTACTGCTTTTTGGAGTCTTCACTTCTACAAGAACTCACTCCCGCTGAGTCAGATATTCAGTACGAATTTCCCAGTTTACAGGATGATTAAATCTGCTCTAGAAGAATATTGGGAAATATTGAAAACTTGCTTCTAAAGTGATGAGTCTTACAAGAGAATCGCGCACGAAATCTTTGGTGCAAGCGTGGATCTTCGGAAACGAAGATTGGGCTGCCTTAAACGTCAATACCGATCGTTGTCATGCCAAGCTCAGAGCTTATTTGTTCCAAAAGGTTGTTGGAGGTTACGTTGACATGGATGTTATGTGGTTTTAACCGGACGACGCTACGTTACAATCAATCTTTCGCAAATATTTGAAACTCGAAACGGCAATAACAACTGGCCGCCTCGCAGCTGCGTTCTCACACGGTTGAACTACATTTTGTGGAAAGCTCTTAAGGATAAGTGCCACGTTAATCATTCAAAGACGATAATTAAAACATGAAATGGAAGTCGTCATTGCAGTCATGAGAGTCACACACTTACATCCCTGTGGGTTAGCAGTTCAAAATCTGGACCGCGGTAAGACATGACGTCTAAAACCTACCGCAAAGGCCCGAAGTTTTATCCAGTCAAGGACTATCCGTCCTGCAAGATTCCCCAAAAACTAATTTGGGGAATATTATTGCGATTACAACAACATAATCGAAAAGGCCTTGAGGAAGGTCATGTCTTTACTAAGGCAAAAAATTCTCATAAAAAAGTTTCACAATTTTTAAGGACCTCTGGCGTTTGATGTCTCTCGCTCATAATTTAAATAAGGTTTTTTTGCGACGCAAATATTTTTTCACTTCGAATTAATAACAACGCTGTAACTAAATAATAAATAAATCTCATTTTCTTTCTCCTCTTACACTCATTTCAATTTATTTATCGTTATTTGCTTAAAAAATATTATTTCATTTCATAATACAGTCACATCATCAACGCACTTACCTGAACTGGGTCGATCGCTGTAGCGCGTGCAATACACCCACGCAGGCCATACAATAGGTCCGCTGCCGCTCGCACCAGTACCGCTGGATTTAGCAGCGGTGCTACTACCGCCGCTATTTGTTGTGTCCTCTACCACCTTTGCGCTGAGCTCTGTCGCCGCGCACTTCGACGCTGAGGCGCTAAAATCACCATTACCCGCCGTCGCAGCGGCAGGTGACTTGGCATGCTCAGAGACGCCGCCAAAGCTACTGCTCACCGCAGTACTAGACGAATCGCTGCTATTTGTACAAATATTTGCGAGTGTGTGTGAGAAGTTTAAAGTTGCCGTTGAAGCTGATGTCGTTGTTGCGGTAGACGCCGCTGCATTGAGATGCGTTAGATCGATAGCGAGCGCTGAGTTGCCGCTAACTGAGCCAGTGGCTAAAGCATTGGCTGCCTTACGTGCCCGCTGCAAAGCACTATTGCTGTTACTATTACTACCACTGCATTTGGCAGCGCGTGTGATATTATTACACGCAGCCATACAAGCAGCGCCCTCCGCTAGCCGCCGGCCAAAGTCAGCTTTTAAAATATTATCAATACTAAATTTTAGCGCAGGTTCATTGAGATTATTATTGTTATTGTTGAGGTTATTATTGTTGAGGTGATTACTGTGCGCGTACGGGAAGTGCGCTTGCATTTGCGCTTGCAGCTGACTCAGACTTGATACAGCGCTGGCGGTTGAGGGGGAGAGTTGAGTGTGCGCGCTTGTTAAAGCACTCAGTTTGCTTAATGCATCCGCGTTGCTAGACAAATGCGATTTGTTTTGTTGTTGTTGCTGCTGCTGCTGCGAAGTTTGGGTATTGTTGGCCACCGCTGCAACAGCAACAGCCGCTGCTGCAGCAGCAGCGCTTAATTGTGACATTTTTGTAATAGCCGTCAGCTGCGATTGTATGCCGACAAAATTGGACATTTGCTGTGGCGTTGCTGGCATGCGCGCAAAGGCGCGTCGATCCGGCGCTATTGCTTCACCGCGCAATGTAAACGCGCTGGCACGCGCCGCAGCCATAAATTGCATTTGCTGTTTCATCAACTCCTCAGCGTACATGTGTGACTTACGCATAAGCTCCGATTGAAAGGCAGATGTATGGTTGGCAGCGCGGGGCAACACCGGCACAGGCATGCGTAGCGCGTTGGCCACCACATATGGATCCAATATGGCGCTGGTGGTTTGTGGTGGCGATTGTGGCGTCAGCGGCGCCGGTATCGACTGCAACGCATTACCAGTGCTGCTGCCAATACTCTCATCGTCCAGCTGCTGTAAAGTGTTGTCATCCGTAGATGCACTTGAACGCGCATCACTGCCATCACCGCAAGCGGATGCAGGCGCTTGCACACTGCTAAACGCCGACGGCGCGCACAACGCCATCATGCTGCCAACATTGCTGAGCAGTAAGCGGCGTTGCTGCGTATAATCACAAAAATTTGAGACTGTGCGAACATTAGTATTGCCGCCTACCTCCTGGCCAACAGATAATTCACTATCCTCACTACAGAGACTCAAGGCATCGTCTTCCTCGCCTGTTTCGTCCACTTCGTCGACACAGTGCGGTGTTGTGGCACCACTTAAGCGCGCTGCTGCCGTCTTAGCTTCTAATTCATTTATTTCACGTAAACGCCCACCTTCGTCAATCTCGTCATCACCCACCACATCCATCTCATCCGTTGAGTCGTTTGAATCATCACACATATTTTTTATCTCGTCTACTGATGTCGCATCCATGGACATTGTGCCAGTGTGATCCCGACGTTTTTCACCTGCCAAAACCGTAACGCTTGGGCTTAAGCGCGGACTTGTTACGCCATGCGCTTGCAGCAGCATACAATCTGGATGCATATCGACGACGCGACGTCGACGCAGCGCGCACAGCTGTTCGAATAATGGCGTTTGGTTGTGTTTGTGTGAAAGTGGCGCTAAAGCGTATATGCTTTGATTTGACGTACTCGATGACACTCCTGATTCCGTTGAGTTGACAACTATAGCTGGTGGCGGCGACGCTGGCGTCACGTTTATTGGCAGCACTTGTTGTGTGAGCGTTGTGCGTGTGCTCGCGACAGTGGACATTGAGCTGTTGAAGTTCGTTGTTGCTGCTAATGACAGTGGCAGCTAACAAATGTGTGCCAAGCGCGTACATAGAGCGCTTTAGTTGATTAATTTGGTTTAAGATTAAGACTCCTTAATTTGTTTTTTTTTAGGATAAAATAAGAGGCCGTCGGCAATCACTCGCTCACAAATTTATTACTGCACTGCCTCTTTAGTTCACTTGAAAGCATATTAACAATTTTTTGGATTGTATCAACACTAATATGTACACAAATAAATCAAAACGCGCGATTGTGGCTGTCAACAGCAGCGCGTCAATCAGTTTTACATAAGCAACGAGCTTTGCGCTAAGCGTTTCATTCAAAATGTAAGAATATACTCGCTATGGCAGATTAAGTAAAACGCGTCGTCAAAAAACGCGTCGGCATTTCACAATTTACATGCATGCTTCCTCTTCTTTTTTCATTAGCAATGGTTTTATTTATTCCAGCGCCGGTTCATACACTAATCAAGCTTCAACACAGCTTGTTCTGCTTCTTCTTCTTTATTTCTGTTTTGGCTCTACTTTTTTTTCGCTCGACCAAATGGCTATAAAAATTACCAAACAAAAGAGACGCGCGCGACCGTTCATTAACTCTTCGCACTGCTACTCTGGCCGACCACGTCGTTTAACTGAGACCGGCGTCGTCGCGCGTATAGCCGCATCACATGCGATCGCATATCAAACGCCCGCTGCCCGTTAGAAGCCCACCTCTATATAACATAACTAAACATTTTGCCAACATATAGTCTTTGGTGGTGTTTGTTGAGCTCAGCCGCCACTCGTTTATTCATTCGTACGCCAACTAACCTCAAATGGGTTGGCAGCAACAGCCGCAATAGCATTTGTGCAGAGCTCTCACGCACACACATACCATAAAGTGCTCTCTAATTCGACTGCGGAGAGTACAAATTGGGTCTTGTAATCCAATGGGAAGTGTGTGCAGTTGGTATGCGCGCTTGCAGTATTGCATGGACGCTCAGTTGTTTGACTGGTTTTCAGCTGCGCGCTGCTGTGTGAGTGAGAGCGCATTTAAGCGCTGCCAGCAGTGGCAGCGAACGTTGTACATAAGCGGAAGATAGTACATAAGCACGCCATTGAGCAGGCTATTGCGATGCGATGGGTGAAAAAGAGCAAGTACTTGTGTAAGGGGCGCGCGCCATTTGTGCGAGTGAACAAAACCTTATCTACCGCGCTTTATGACTAGTAGCTCACTTGCTTGTGCTTCAAAGGCTGAGGAGTGCCGCTCGATTATGTTGTTTCCTCTTGTTTTTTCTTTGCTATTGGCTTAAGGCTCTGTGTGTTTTCTTGTTTATTGTTGTTGTTGTTGTTGTTGTTGTTGGTTTTCTTGTTATTGTCGTTGTTGTTAATAAGTTATTTTTCACGGTATACGCTTTGCGATTAGAGCTACTCGGAGTTGCTTGTGCTCTCTTTAAAATTTTGCTAAAATTTTTTATATTCTTTTACGATAGCTCTTTAAATTTAGATTGCATAGTGTTGTTGCTTTTGGTTTTGATTTTGTTGTTGTTGATGTCGCTCATTTGCTCTAGCTATTTTTGCAACACTTCATCCAATGCTCCTGCAATTGTTGTTATTTTGTTTTTATTGTAGCACATACTCGCATGTGCATATGTATGTATGTACCAAAATGTATATCTACAGAAATGTATTTGCCTTGCTATTATCCCTTTGGTACACACCTTCTGCTTCATTTTTCTCTTCCTCTGTTTGTAAATTATGTTGAAGTTACAATTGTTTGTTCTTGTTGTTATCATGACCGCCGCTATAGACTACATTTATCTACCTACATATATGTACATATTAATGTATGTATGTATATATGTATATATATATACATAAATCTTCATGCATATGTTTGTATGTAGACATGTTCCCAGCTTTATACATACCAACTACATATTTATGCCATACAATTGTTCCTCTTCTTGCTGCTCCTGTCATTTGTGGTTAGGTTAAGTGCTTGTATATTTGTTAATTAAGTGCGCCGTCGACACTTGAACTTATTTTCGCTGCCGAAGTATGGAGAAATAGTTTCAGCACGTAGTGTATATTTATGTATGTATGCGTGTTTGTGAATATGTATGTGAAAAATTTGAAATGATCCTTAAAAAATGAAGCGGTTCAACATGCTTAAAAACATAAATGTTTTGTTTAAAGATATTGATTGCAACAAATTGATTTTTGAATACGTAAAATTTCATTTTAAATAAATGTATTTTCTATTTTAGTTTCATTTATTTTATTTTACTGCATTGAGTTTCCGTTTTTATTTTTTTATTTTTTTTTTGTTATTTCTATCCTTTTGTTTTTTTTAACTCAATATCATTTTATTTTATTTACTTTGCTTTAACTCGTTTTATATGATTTAATTTAATTTTTTAATTTAATTTCCTTTCAAAAAATTTGTTTTAGTTTATTAAAATCAGGTTAAGGAATTGTGTTTAATTTAAAATATATATTTTATTAATATATTACTATATAATTTATAATTATATAATTTCCTTTATTATACTCAATGCAGTTTGATTTATTTTATTTTTCCTTTATTTTATTTGATTTATTATTAATTTTTTAAATTTGTTTATTACTTTATTTTATTTTATTTTAATTTACCAATTTATTTCTATGTTATTTTATTTCAATTTATTTCAAGTTATTTAGTTTTATAAATTTTTTCATATATTTTATATAATAAAAAATGTTTAAATCTCCTTTCATTTTGTCTGGTATTATATATATTTTATATATTTCAATTTATTGTCTTTTAAATCTTTATATTTTCATTTTAATTACGTATTATATCATTTTTATTTCATATATTTTTTTTTGTTTTTAAATTCAAATTTATTTAATTTTATGTTATTTCACTTAAACTTATATTATTTATTAAATAAAATTAAATTTTTATATTTTTTGAATTTGTATATTACTTTTGTTTATTTTATTTTATTTTAATTTACCAATTTATTTCTGTGTTATTTTACTTCAAATCATTTAGTTTTATATATTTTTTCATTAATTTTATTTAATAAAAAATGTTTAAATCTGATTTCATTGTGTCTGGTATTATATATATTTTATATTATTTCAATTTCCTTTAATTTGTTTTTTTTTAATTAAAATTTATTTGATTTTACGTTAATTCACTTTAACTAATTTTATTTATTAAATACATTTAAATTAAATTTACATATATAATTATATTTTAATTAATAACTATTTTATATCATTAATTCTGTTTTGATTTTAAATTTTATTTAGTTTTATTTCATTAAAATCAGTTTAATTTAATTTTGGTTAAATTAAGTAATAAATATATTTTTTTTTAATATATTGCTGTTTATGATATCCTTTATTATACTCAATGCAATTTAATTTAGTTTAATTTAATTTTTTTCTTTATTAAACAATTTTATAAATTTGTTTTATTTATTTTTATTTTTTTATATAATATTTACACTTTTTCAATTTTATGTTATTTCATTTAAGCTGATTTTATCTATTAAATAAATTTAAATTAAATTTACAAACAGAATTATTGATATTTTAATTAATATCTATATTTATATTTAAATTCATATCTATATCATTTCATTACATTTAAATTAATTTCTTTTATTTGTTACCTTGTTTTATTTATTTGAAACCTAAAAGCTTTTTTTTATAAATTTATATTATTCTATTTTTTTAACAATTTTATTTACACTAATTTAGTTTTATTTTACTTTGCAATATTTTAATTACTTGAATTTTATTCTATTTCGATTAAGATTTTTTTAATTTTATTTTATTTCATTTTATTTGTTTTTAATTTTATTCACATTTTTATTTTACTTTTTTATTACTTTTTATCTCATTTTGCTTTATTAGATTTCCATTAATTTAATTTCATTTTTCTGTTTTTATTTGTTTATTTTTTTTTTTATTTCACTTCATTATTTTATTTTAATTTGTTTTATTTTATTTTATTTTATTTCATTTCATTTCATTTTGCTTCTTTTTTTATTTTATTTTAATTAATTTTACTCAATTTTATTTTGTTTCGTCGCATTATGTGAATATTTTGTATATACACTTGTAATAAATTTATTTTATGTCTTTTAGTATTTAGTGTCCATAGACTTTATGAAATATATTTACGATTTCCTCAGATTTTTGCCTAAAATAATTCCGAAACTGTTTTCAACAATAACGGAGGTTTCGCGAGGTCGTTAAAATTAATTGTTCGCATGATATACATTTGAGTAAAATTATACAGAAGTATATATGTATTTACGGGCACACTACAATTAGGTATGCATAATCTATCTGTAATGAACGCACAAAGGATTTAGGAAGTAGGCGTTGCTCATTGTCCTTCAACATTAATTGGTCCTCATGCGGAGAAATGTGCATATTCGATATTCGGTTAATTGTTCGCGTTGTTTGTTGCCAAGGGGACAACGCTGTTGTTGAAAAGTAAAAAATCACTTTTGAAGAATATCCTTTCAAATTTTATTACTCAAGAAAGGGTTTTAGATCGCTAAATTAAAAAACATATATATATATATTTTTCTAAATACTCTGCGTGTTTGCGGCTATAAAATGCTGAAATCTCAAGCCGTTTTGCATAGTTGAGTTTTGGCAAGCCGTCTTTAAAGAACTCTTTAGTAACTTTTGCAAATTTAGAGAATATTTGAATTCTTCCTACAAAGTAAAATTATTATTTCTTGATTCTTGAAATGAATGGAATGTGTAATCTTGAAGAGGTGGCGCACTGGTTGGAGATGCAGTTCGAGGTTGCCAGGCAGGGAACGCTTGCTCAAAATATTGCTTTGCAGTTCACCGACGAAGAAGACCCAGAGGACCAGACATGGGAGATAGAAGATAATAATGTGGTGGCATACTCAAGAAAACGCTTGAGAGAAGAAGACGCTGAAGAATGTTCGCAATTTGCATTAACGTTCCTGAAGCGAAAGCGTTTGATGTTTGAAGACTGATTTTAAACGTTTAATTTTGAATATTTCCTTAAATTGTTGATTATGTTAAGTTCCAAACATATCATTAATCACAGAGAAACTCAGGGCAAAAAATCCATCATATTAGATTATATGGATGAACAAAAAAAGTTAATTAAGCTAAAATTTAAGAAAATAATATAAAATGAAATTTTAAACTAAAATAATATTAGCCAATATTAAGCAAATAAAATAAAATGATGAAAAAAAAAAATTTAAAATAAAATAAAATAAATAATACAAAACAAAATAATATAAAATTAACTTAAATAATTAGAATAAAATATCATAAGCTGATATAATTCAAAAATTAAATAATATTGAATTTAATGTGCAATTAAATAAAATAAAATATTCTAAAATCAAGTGAAATTAAGTAAAATAAAAAATAAAATAAAATAATAAAAAATAAAACAAATTAAAATAAAGCAAAATGCAAATTAAACAAAATGATTTAAGAAGAATATAAAAATTAGAAATTGAATTAATAAAAGAAAATGCAACCAAAAATTAGATATAAATGGGGCAAAATAATATATGAGATAATTATTTCTAAGTATATAAAATTATTTAAAATATAAAACATTAAAAA